CCCATAGCCTCAGAAAATTTATTACACCCGCAGTATTACGGCCCATTATATGTCACAGTGTAACAACCGTCATATCCCAGAATCAGATATTAGCTGGGCATCATCTTTGTCAGTCATTTTCTCAGTAACGCTGTGCAATGTTATCTTTGAAGAGGAATTATTAGTCTTTCAACCAGTTACAATCAGGCAGACTATTATTGATGTCTGGAATTTGGCATTTATAAAGACATATTTTGGCAAAGGGACACATTTAAATGAAAATCCTTAACATTGAGAAAAGTTGATTGTATCCGGACACATCAGTTCAGCAGTGATTATGAATAATCAGCGAAGCCTACTCGAATGCAGTGACTCGAACTTTGATTTAATATTACCTAAAACTGAAATGGAGGAGGTGGGCAGGACATGTCAAAAGAATGAAGGACAATAGGTGGACAATCAGGCTTACAGAATGGACCCCAAGGTATGGACAAAGAAAAAGAGGAAGGTCGGTCAAACGATGGAGGGATGAATTAGATGACTACTGGAAGTCTTGGAAGAAGAAACCTTGGCCAAACTGGAAATCTGAGGCTCAGGATAGGAGACAATGGAAAAAGCATGCTGAGGCCTTTGTCCAACAGTGGAACACTATAGGCTCTAAATGATGATGATGATGATGATGATGATGAAAACTGAAATTGCTGGGTCCAACGAATAGTGAGAGGAGTTTTGAACATGTGGATAAATGTGCCTGCAATATTGCTGTAAACGTTCCAACGAATTGCTAGACACCTACACAGATCACAAATACAGAAGATAGGGGTCAGTTTTATCCAGAACAGGTGCAGTGACATTCATGGGTTCTTGGGTGATATTTCCGGGTCTTATCTTAGGAGGTCGGGTATGACAGATAACCTCCTAACTATGCCCAGCCTAAAAGTGTTCTATGGTGTAAATAATGAAACATCCGACTTTGTTGTTTTCTTTTGGCAAGATTATGTTTTTCAATAAGTGTCACTCATTTGTAAGTGAGAAATCTGTTAATTCTAACCAATATTCGTAACATATACGAAGGCACTTATTTTAAAACCGATATTGGATAGCCTTGATTTTTAGCTTGCCCTGAGTGCCCTAAACTAAGAACACCGCCTTCACAAAACGTGATAATTCACACGCGCGCGCGTGTGCGCGCACACACACACGTTTGATTTGCACCAATTTTTTTTATCTCTCTCAGAAGTAAAAAAAGCTATAGTCTGCCCCAGCCGTACGTCTGCTCTCCTGCGACACTGGCTCAACCTCACTTACAGGGCTAAGAACAGGGGCGGATTTAGGCCGTCTTCTGGGTCTTCCGGAAGACGGTCAGATTTTCAAGTTTACATTGACGGGTATCTATTTTTTTCTGTCGGAAGACGGTCAAAAATGGAGGTTGGATCAACAAAGATAATTTGGAAGACTGTCAGAAAATATCTCTGGATCCGCCCCTGAAGAACCTGTAGCACCGTTTTGTGAGACAGCTATTAATATCAGATTTCTAACCCGAGTTTCTGACCTCCTCCTCGGGGGCAAACGTCAAAAGCACTAGGTGCTTTTACAGATGTATGTGTACTGAAAGATAAATGCTCAGGTGTCAAATAACCACCATGCTGCAGGTGATGAGGGGCCTATTACGACCGACTTGTTCATTAGGTTTGAACATGTGGATAAAATAATTGCACGACAGGAGTTTTGTTCTGTGGAAATTGTCCGCCTTCATCCTGGAGGGCATCTGTTTCAGGTGCGACTAATACCGGTATTTACTCAGGCACTTGGTTGGGAAAGGCTAACAGAGACAGACACGCGTAACTTACTCTGACACCATTATAAATGATACCGGTTTGCAAACAAGTAAGATTCTTTCAATACTGAGGGAGAGACTTATTTAGACTAAACATGCTGCTACCCTCATGCTGCTACCGCCCAAAACCGAAGAATGATCTTAATAATGTTGATGTTGGTGATGGTGATGATTTTTTCCGCCCAGTGAAACTCTTAACGATCAATCTGAGGCGTTTTTTGGTGGCTATCGAAATATATTCACCCTGATTATCATGTTCCATTTTTGGTTTTAGAATCATACGTATAAGAGAGTAGTGTATGATATCAAAATTGTTAAGCTGCGTTAGGCCTCTTTACACTGGACGTCGTCCTTTCTGCGTCCCTTCTACGATCAAAGATGTGATCAGGACGCTCAACGGTCGCCAAAGCAATTAAATCGTGTCTCAGTGTAAAGGCGTCTGCGTCCCTTAAGGTGGGTAATAGGGTTAACTAAGCTTAAAATCATGTTTTTGAGTTTTTTGTGTGTTTCTTTTAATCAAAAAAGTATCTAGCGTTGGATGTAATAAATTATTTGAATTTGCACCGCAAAATGTGTCTTTTGATGAGTTTTTCAACCGGCACGCGCCCCAGTCAGGCTGACAACTCTGTTGCCAAGGGCCGTTGCCATGAGGGGGGCGGAGCATAGTTAATGAGTTATAAGCTGATTACGTGTGCGGTGATAGGTCATAAGTCTTACATCAGCTAAGCAGTGAAGAAGTCGAGTACGCTATGGGGAAGAGAAAAAATTCGTGTTAAAAGTCCATTTCCAGAGGAAAGAAAGAAATTTTTGAGAGTATGTGGGCGGTTGGAGGAAAACCGGTATTTGTTCAGTCGGATGACGAGAGAGAGAATCTACCTGGAGAAAGCGCTCGTTAGATTTTGAAGGGCTTTGAACAGCCCTCGGAGTCTTCTGACAGTGATCGTGAGGAAGAAACAGTAGCTACTGGGTACAGGCTTTGGCACAGTGGACAGTTGTTAGAAAGTGCCTACAAGTCGTGTGTTTGTCGTGTGTGTGGCGGCGACGTTGTGTTGGTCGAAAGACTGTTACAGCCATTGGCGCATGTACAGCTCAAATAAAAGCATCATGAAATGTTTAATATTATTCGTCTTTCTTTTTTCTTTATGTATACCTAATAAATGGGTGAAAGAGTAAATCGAATCGTCTAAATTAATTGAGAAATGTATTTGTACGAAAAATTTATAACTAAAAGAAAAAAAATGCTAGAAACGATACTTTTAGCCTAGCTCTTAATTTTGGCGATATATATCGGCGAGCGTATCTGCGACACGTTACGAAACTGGAAATGATTGTTGGATGCCGTTTGTAGAAGGTAAAAACTAATGTTGACAAAATATAATTTTATTCTCCAATAAATGAAATCAAGGAGATTTAGAGACACGCACAAAATTGATGTGAATGGCCAAACGAGAGAAATCCAAGCAAGGATTGACAGCATAATTAAAAAAATAACAATGAAAATAAAAACGCATGTTAACTTGCATTTTGCGATGTTTGGAGAAAAACAACGTCAAAATCACCGATCAAGCGGGAAGAAAGAGTTCAAAATGTACCCAAAATAAAAATCACAAAAAGACTTCTTGAAAAAATTAATACCCCCCCCCCCGAGTTCACAGTTACCAGGATAATCGGTTAAGAACTACTACTGTCACCCAGTTTTATCTGATCACTTTGCCGATAACAGAAAAGGAATCTCTCAGGTAAAATTACTCGATTGCCGAGGGAGACCCATTGAAACGTACAAATGCAACTTCACACCTCTTAATTGCGGTTAAACGTAATCGCCTTTGTTAGCGCTTCCTTCTACATATCCTTGACACCCTACTGGGCATCACTAGGCTAGGGCCCTGTCCAGAGCTGTCAATCAAAATGGCGGCACGCTTACTAGCCTAACGAGTGGTCGGAAAATGTAACAAAAGCACGATTTTCTGCCCTTTCAAAGCACCCAGACAAAATATTTTTAGATGACAATGAGCAATGGTTCCATCTGATCGTATAACCGATAACAGGTACATTTGCCAGCTAAGCATTTGACTAATAAGCTCTGTTGACCAACCTGTGAACCTGTTTTAACAGCTTTCTATATTGACGAGAAAAGTGAATCGCTGCCAAGTATATCTCACTATCTGAGCAACCGATCGTTACAAAAGTTGCACCTATTGTTGTTGGGAATGTGGACTACAGCATGATGTCAGGGGTTTAAGAGGAAATTGTTTGTTTGAAAGTTATCATCTTTTGAAGTGAATAACCCATTGAAATATGGGGTAATTTAACGTAAAAGATGATAAAATCAAAAGTAAATAGTTAAAGACAATTCCCTGGTACCGCGCTGAAGTGCTTTCACCCAGCTTTATGAAGCCGTTTGAATCACTTGAATAGCTGTCTTGGTTATAGAGAAAATCCCAATTCCGAAAACGGCATTTTCCCCGTAAAATTGGCGCTACAGCGTCATCCGTTGGACACTGTACTTAATCCCCGTCTTTAATTGGCCTTTTGGGAAGTTTGTTTTAATTTTTTATAAAAACTTATTAGCCCAGGGCTTTGTTTCTATGACTTTGGTCCTTTTACTATTAGTCCCCTTAACTTGTGCGTCCTTTGAACGACCGAATCTTGAGCGACCTGCCTGCTTCACCTGTGCGTCCCCTGTTCAAGACAGATGAGCGTAGTTTGGGGGTTTGTTTGGGCATATATATATATAATTTTCATCAGTTCTAACCCGGTCACCCTATTTTAAAGCAGATCTCCAGAAAACAAAACAATTTATAAGGAATAAACTCTTTTTTTTTTTTTTCAAAGTAAAACTTTGCATTACTGAAATTTGAAAAAAAATATTCCTAATTAAATGTATCGTTTTTGTAGTTGTTCTAAATTGGTTAGAACTGGTGAAAAATATAGAAGAGCCAGAATATATAGAAGGACGTCAAAACAACGCACATCGATCTAGCAGGAGGCAAAAAGCTGTGAAGGTACAGTGAACGCGTCGTGGATCCTCAATGGTCGCTTAATATAGCAATAGACGCCGGGGGACGCACAGGGGAGGCAGGCAGGTCGTTCAGTGGACGCACAGGTCGCTAGCAGTTTTACAGGTAAAATTTACATTCGCTCGTGCAAAGAACGAACGGACGCAGACGCCTTTACACTGAGACACGATTTAATTGCTTTGGCGACCGTTAAGCGTCCTGGCCACATTTTTTTACCGAAGGGACACAGAAAGGACGCCGTCCAGTGTAAAGGGGGTCCTAGCCAAGGCTTTGGGTATGGCCGATAGAATTATGAGACGGCAAAATTCATTGAGTTTTTAGTGTGGCAACCGTGAATGGTACTGATCATTTTATTGCATGCGGAAAAAATGGTCAAATGATTAATTTTGTAATAGTTTAGTTCAAAAGGTTCTTATATTGATTATCGTTTAGCTGGTCGTCGTTCTTTGTCGGGCAATAGTACCTGATATCTGCATAAATGGTTGAAGACTAGATTATCATAATTTTATAAATTTGTTTAACAAACTGATGCATTATAACCTATTATCATTAAAATTTAAAAGATTAAAAGTAGTTGTTGTAGATATGGTAATGTCGGTTTGTGTCGTCAGAGGAAGAAGATCGGTCTTACGGATATGAATCTGTGCACTGAAACTAGGGGCTCATTCCCAATAACACTATCGGTCTACGTAGTCCGATCCATTTCCACGGGGACTCTCGCTGAATGCAATCAGATCAACTAAATGACACGCCTCCTCCTGACATTGAATTGAATACAAAAAGATTGTGGTTATATGAGTACGTTGGCAATAAAGGGAGCGTGTTATTCCGTTAAAGTGTTTGCACTTAGCAAGAGCCCCCTTAGAGTTGGATCGATCAACGTAGACCGATAGTGTCATTGGAAATGAGCCCTATCATTGTAACAATCACAATCCAAATACAAGGCTTAAAAATCAAACATAAACTCTCGACTTAACACATGTAAAATCTGTGGCAGGAATTGATCATTGCAATAAGGTCTAGAAAAGAAAAGGAACGGCAACAAGATTAACTATACGACTTATAGACCTCCTTGGATGCGTTCCAGGTAAAAACAAGCTTCAGGCGAGACATAATTCAGCTTGTTTACATTTCCCTATGAGTAATTAAAATATGTCAGACACGCAAGTCTAATTGACACGGTTAAGCATATTTACTGAAAATTTGCCGTGATAATGCACTGCATATACTGTTACATCACAACAATAAACATAGCAGTATTCAGCAGCATTTGTAAAATGTCCTCAGGAAAAAAGGTTTGGCCCACTTGTTAGACTGGTAATTGTAGAAAATAACCTAACGTACATGTATTTGTAGTTTTGTTACCACTTGTTTACTTTCATTGCGTGCGCTTTGTTAAAGGCTAACAAAATATCTAAGTCTTCCGTTTACTTATCCAGTAAACAGGACGAGATTAAAACCAAACAACATACCTGCTACTTTCATTGATCACAAATAAGACTTTAAAAGTCTTCGCTCTTGAAAAATGTACTTGTAGGAAAAATAGATGGAGAAATACTTAAGCGTAACGAATAAATGTCACTTCACAGCTATCAAAATGATCACGATACTCGATCAACCCTGTTTATTCAGCATGAGGCATTCGAGGCTTTTCCGTGGCTGGTCCCACGGAAATTCGCGGCATAGCGGCCAGGGAACGTTCCCTGGGCAACAGGGGGGGATTTCGCCCCTTCGCTTAGCAACCTCGGATCACGGCTCGGGTGCAATGATGCTATTATTTTACATACTGTCTTATTTAAACGCTAACCGTACCTTTAATTACAATCGTTTAAAAGTCGGTATATCTCTCACCTTAAAACAGGCATCCCTCAAAAATTCCCGTATTTGTTCCGCTACCAGTCCTTCTACACCTTATGAACAGCAAGTCAAGAGAACGCCAGTCTCACACACGACCATCACACGACCATCACTGTATTCAATGGTTGCACTATGAAGGTGGTCAGTGCAGCACTTCTTTTACCCACGTGAGTTATTTTCCTTCCTGCCCTCAGCGATTTGCATTGGCGAAGTATACACCACTCCTTTCTTCAATGGCGCCGTTAACACCGACCCTCTCTAAAACCGAAGCGGACTGTAGCTAAAAGCAACGCACCCTTTTACAACTGGCACGCTCTCTTTTCCATTTCATACACGTAAAATACGCGACCCGATCAGACCCGCATATTCATTATAGTAGTGAATAAACAGTGTACCTGTGTTGCTTAACACAGTGGGAACGTTAAGGACACTAGAGGACCACTTTAGGTGCGCTGCTATTTATAAGATTCGCTGACGTGAGCGTCGGATTCTTATTCGTGTTACATGACCGTTACGGGTCATTAAGAAAATGAATATGCATAACTTTGTGTGCGTAGCACGCTTGATTTTATTGTAGGGAATGTAATGAACCTAATGTTAAGCATCTTTTTCTTAATAATCTACAATTGCTATAAACACTTGTTCGAATGAAGGATATGTTTTTTATTCATTAACGATAATGGATTTGTTATTGTTTTGGCATCGTGAAGGCTTTTGTCAATCATTGTCCATAAACGCGCATGAATGATTGAATGATTAAAAAGCAGTTTTGTTTTGAGCAAAAAATGTTTTTCAATAAGCACTTTGGGCTGTGATTCTGCACTATAATCCTGCCTTAGGGGCCTTAGGGACGTTTAAAATCCAGAATAATAAAGAGGATTGTGAAGTGGCGGGTTGTGGTTACCCTCTAATGTTCAGGGGTTTCTAAAATAGCATACAACTCAAAGGGATAAAAAAACTCTTCATTTTGACGGGAAAATGCCATAAAATGGATTTTTCTGGGGTAGACGACGATGTTCCCATACTTAACAATGGTAAATGAATCCGTTCCAACTTTCAAAGTAAGTCGATTGCTTTTTTAAGTAAGTTTTTTTTAATAATCTCTTAGTGTAAAGAGATTATTACGAAGGGTAGCCACTTAATGTCAACGTGGTCCGATGGCAAGCATATATTTCAATTAATTGCGATATCTGCCGTTTTGGTGGTTAAATGGAATCTACAGTGTATCATATATCTGTTTTGTTTGCAAGATATTTATTATTGAATTTTGAATCTCACATCAAGACTTGTGATTCCTTTAAACTATGCCATACAATGATTTTGTAACAGACTACTCGCACACACTGTGGTTTGAGAATAGGTTGTGGTCTACTTCCAGACATGAATTATTAAAATGTGAATAAAAACGCGGTGCTCACAAAGAGTCCCCACTGCGCATGCGCTTGGGGCATTTCATGTTCTCAGTGAAGGATTTTCCGTCTCGTTCACAGAAACAGGTCTGTCACCAGCACCCTTCGCCCTGACCAGTCTGAACGCAGGATTTGTGACAAACTTCCGCGTGACAGCATAAGATAGTCGACCTCAAAATGTAGCCAAGAGCCTACTGGGCATGTTAAAACTTCCCTGAAGAAGGTCAACTGTTTTACATGATGGCATGTCCAGTCCGATTTTGAGAAAAAAGAGAATAAAAAGATGATGGTAGTAAAATTAATAACAACAATAACAACAATAACAACAACAATAATAATTATAATTATACATCTGCGCCCCTTCCTCTAACTATCCGAAGTTTCTGTACCTCGACATTTGACAAATTCGGCCCATGTCACTTACGTTACTTAATACTTCAACGCTTCCCCTCTAAACTAACTTGCAGGAGCATCTCCACTCTGAATACCCCATTAAGATTTTATTTTCTACGCACCAATACCTTAGCTTATGCAAGAGCAAAACGTCTTGTTAAACGGTTCTAACAATGAGTCAGAAATCAGTACAGGATTCACATGGCATTATTTAAAGATTGCATGGTTCTAAGCCAGGATTGACAGGATTGGAAGTCCGCTGGGAAACCTACTCCCGTCCGATTTACATAGACCGTGCCATAGACGAACCCAGATACTTTCGTCTAAGCCTAACCTGTACTAATCATATGAAACCTCAAGCTTCATTCCTGGGACTACCATTCCTGTCAGAGCGGGAGAAGATAGCTGAAATGTGCCCAAATATTGAACGGAAAAGTTGACTGTATACCGTTGTAATCGCCCTCAGAGGCGATGTCAGATGAATTAATTTTGTGAAAGCCATTCTCTGTTATTCTGCCAAGAAAGCCGTGAGTTATGCTTTCCACACCTGAATTGTGTTTACATTGCTCGTCGACCACCTGATGTTGTACGTGCAGATTTTAATGGTATCTGTTTTTTTTTTTTTTTTTTTTTTTTTTTTTTTTTTTTTTACATTCACCTCTGTGTCGAGATAAAGTTGTTTGATGATGGTGTCCCTTTTGTGCGCCAAGTTTCTATATCTGGAGAATAATCCCTGCAGTCGTCTAAGCAATCTCCTGTATTTTATAGTTAGGTAATTAAATTGAAATAAAAACCATGTATAGACCTGCATGTATCCCTGAAAGCTGTGCCAAAACCTTACAATGGAAAAACAAAAGTTACTTTGAAACTTCCTTCTGGCCGCCTTTACTTATGATGCTGTATGATACGATTTTATGATTCAGGTATGTTCTAGTTAATCTGCGAGTAAGATTATTTCCTACATGAATCATTATCAATAACGGTGATTGATTTTATTACTTCCCTGTTCTCGAGATAAAATGGAGTAATAGGCTGGAGATTAATAACATTTATTATGAAAAGCTAAATAAGAATATAGATATTTGTGCGGCACGACGGGAATCACACTAATAACTAAGTAAATTCTGAAGAAATGGAAGAAGATGAATTAATGTTTAAAAAAAGTTTATCAGTACCAAACATCGGGCTGAAATTTACAATACATGGGACCTTGTACAGTAAGGCAAAGGCCGCCAAACTTCACCTTGTTCGGGCAGCGAATACCACATTGCTGTTAGGTTAATCTCATTTACCTAGGGAGATAATCCATAGTTCGTTTGAAGCCTATAGGGAAAAGGGAACGATATCATCATTACATTGGCGCCTCTTGCGTCCATTTGGCACTTACGACTTTGACTAATGCCGACGTCATGCAGCACCCACCTCTTCATTGAACAAATGAGGATCTTTTTATCGGAAATGCCACATCAGCTAAGACAGAGATAATCTGATTAAAAGTAACCACAATGGGAATTTAGTGGTATTTGGATCTTCTCTTTGGATAATGAAGACTTTGTGCTGTAACGCTACGAAGTTAGCTGTCAATGGCAAAGACAATTTCCAGATAAAAACAGGATTTTGGATTTTAAAAAGATTTTCCCCAAAGATTCCCCGCGCTCGCATTCTGGATTCTGTTCGTTAGTATTTTCAGTCTAGCAAGCTATTTTCAAATGATGAGGCTAATGCAATCAGTTGAGAGCAGAATTCGGTACTTATTCCAGACAGCAAAATGAAATTTTCTGTCAAAGACAAAGACCATTTCAGATAAAAGCAAAATTTAAGATTTAAAAAAGACTTTTCCAAAGACATTCCCTCTACTATTAAAAGTCTAAGGAATCGCACAAATTGAATGATTGTAAAAACATGTCACAAGAAAACATTGTTTGATTATTCTTTGTACATAAATGTTTTGTTAATTATTCTGAAAACACAGGTGCATCTTCGAAATTTTTTTTACTAAATAAATAAATTAATTAACGTGTTTATTTTATTAGAGATTTTTATTCCGACTCAAGAATTACTTGTTTGACTATCTGGGGTCATTTAGAATTTATTTCAATGACGAAATTGATATCCCATCTGCCTCGAATCAATATCAAAACATGCCTGATCTTTAGCTTTCTAATACACATACAAAAAGAGTTGGAGCATTTTGTTAAACATCAATGAAATTATCTCTTTTGTTCATTTTCATTTCTTTTTAATAACCAGTTAATCAGTTTGGATCACCATCCAATTGGGCGGATGTTTTGTACGTAGGTGTTAGTGAATTTTGCTTTTGCTAACTCAGAACCTATTGGCGGGTTCCCAAGTTTTGACAATATCTCAAATGCATCTACATTTAGGCCCATTATACGTGTATACAATAAACGTTTCTTAGGCAGTGAAACTAATCCCAATCTTTCAGCTGGTGTTGAGATAAACATTTGAAGCTACCATTCATTATCTTATTCGCAAGGGTACTGCAAGGAAGTATAGTCCATGGCAGAGTAATGCGCTTAAGCTGTACATCTTTGCTGGTAATGCTTTTAAAAATTCGAATCGTCATTTAACGGACTGACACATCTGAAGTATTGCCCTATTTTATTGCATATATAAAAGGAAAACTTTACAAAACGAATTTGAAGTGCAGTTGTTTGGTTGAATGTTCGATCATTTTGAATAATTAGCCAAATTCTCGACAGTCACTTGAGACGTACGGCAGTAGTATCAATAGTAATGACCAATTCAACTTAGTCTACGTGGCCAGTCAATCCATTCTCCTAACGATGTGTGTACCGGGAATCCGCTGGGAATCATAGTATCAATAATTACGATCATTTTACTACGTGCCCAGCAAAACTACCCTGGAATCCATTCTGCTAAAGGCGTAGGTACCGGAGACCCATTACGCTTTAAACGTTCAATATATTTTTTTGTTTCCTGTGTCTTTTTTCATTGAAAATTAAAACACGCACACGTGCGCGCACCTTTGGGGGTGTATATTTTTGCATTGTACATTTTTGCCAACTTATTTGTCGTAAGTTTATTTTTAAGTTTCACTTGCTCTATTTATTTATTTATTGGTGTAATTAGCGCTGAACACAGGCCATTATTAAAACATTTAGCTTTTCATACTAAATACTGTAAACAGCCACCCTGCTTCCCCCCTCCCTTTTTCATCACTAGTCCATGTAAGTACACTGACCTTAGAAAAAAATTATTGAAGTGCCTTTATGAAAATTTGGATTGTTTTGTGGGTGAACTTTTTATTACTCATCAGGTGGCATCACAATGAAATAATCAGAATGGCAAACATAATTAAATTCCGTACAATATTAAATACGATGCACATCTGAGCAATTCTCAAACTCCCAAACTCATGGTCGCCACCTATCAAGCCATTGATGCGAAATAAAATGGGTACCGTTAAGCATAGCAATAGTTCGATAATAGTGACCAACAATTTTATGTTTTATTCTTTGTATGTGGGGGTGGGGTGGGGGTGGGGAGTTATTACTTTATTTTATTTATTTACGTGATGGAGATTGGGTTGTTTGGAGGAAAAGAGGTAGGAAACATGCTGGTATTCATCAACTAT